CGATCACTGTCCGTAAAGTCTTCATGTTTAATGGTGGTACGCTTTGGGAGGGGCACATAGTGGATGTGTTCACAGCAAAAAGATCCATTATAGTACACTAGATCTAACTTAGTGCCAAAAGATATATAAAGAGTACATCCGGACAATTATTTTGCAGGACAAATAGCAAAGTTTCGCGCAGCGTTTCTAGTACCTAGTCCACCAACACTTGGCCTTGATCACCACCTGCACCCTCCTAGGCATGTTATCTACGGGTTTAGTGCAAACCTTTACAGGGATCTTCTCGCACTCTTCCTGGACCCACGCTTTTGCATAAGGGGGTAAGTACTAGGAAAAATTGTGAAGGATTTGAGCTTATGCAAGAGTATTTTGAACGATTTCTGACAGAATGTTATCTCTGAGACTAGCCACGCTAAAGTGTGGCCAAAGATGCCATAAGTCAATTGACTCCGTCTTATCACAGATCGTCTTCCTCATACCGTTGTAGGGTAAAATTACGAGCAGAGTGGCAAAAACTAACGTATCTGCCACGAAACTTAGGGTAACATAGCACGGTCGACTGTGCACCCTTGCACTATTAGAATCATGCTAGGATCCATAGGTCTCGTCACGGTGCAGCAGTCGAAGAAGCCGCGACTGTTCAGAAAGAATATCCAGGTTGAGGTCTGGTGAGGAAAAGGGTCACTCCAGCGCAACATACTCATACTCTCCAAGCCATTCCAAGCCATGTGTCCTGCCTAGGCTTGGAATGGCTTGGAGAGCATGAGTTTATAGCACTCGAGTGACCCTCATCCTCACCAGACCTCAACCTGGATATTCTTCCCCACCAGTCGGGGCTTCTTCGACTGCTGCATTGTGACGAGATCCATAGATTTAATGTGATTCTATTAGTGAAAGGGTGCACAATCGACCGTGCTATGCTACCCTACGTTTCGCGGCGGACACGCTAGTTTTCGCCACTCTGCTCGTAATTTTACCCTACAACAGTACGACGAATATGATCCATGATAAGATGAGACTAATCGACTTATGACATCTTTGGCCACACCTCAGCATGGCTAGTCTCAGAGATAACATTCAATCTGAACTCGTGCACAATACTATTGCATACGCTCAAATATTTCGCGATTTTCCTGGTGCTCACCCCCTTATGCAAAAGGGTGGGTCCAGGTAGAGTGCGAGAAGATCCCTGTAAAGATTTGCACTAACCTCGTAGATAACATGCCTAGGAGGGTGCAGCTGGTGATCAAGGCCAAGTGTTGGTGGACTAGGTAATAGAAACGCTGCACGAATGTTTGCTCAATGTCCTGGGAAATAATTGTCCGGATGCACTCTTTGTATATCTTTTGGCACAACCTGATCCAGTATACTATTATGGATTTTGGCATTGTGAACACATCCACTATGTGCCCCTCCCAAAGCATACCACCATTTATTATTAAGAATTTATGTACAGTGGTTCGAAAGCCCAAAAACCCTAATTAATGCAAAAAAAAACTGACAATTGTTTCCGTCACAGTACTTCCTAGTCGTCGTTGGCGAATTCTCGCGGTTCACCATAGTGTTATCATTGGAGTGGAAGGCCGACGTTCCTACCGTTCTCCTCTTGTGGCTTCTTTCTAATTGGCCCGGCACCGCCTACCTATAGTTCGCTTACACTGTGACCGTAGTGGCGAGTTCATCTCTGGCCGTCTAAAGCAGCTCTGTCGTGAGGAGGGCATCCGCCAGACTTACATACTGCCAAACTCCCCACAGCAGAATGGGGTCGCTGAGTGGCGCATCGGCTTGGTCATGGAGGTAGCTCGCATCTCCATGGTCCACGTCGGTGCATCCCTTTTTTTTTTGCCGTTCGCATTGCGCTACGCTGCTCACCAGCGTTTAGTAACCCGTAGTAGCGCTCCCAGCGGCCACAGGTTTCACCGACCCTTCTTTGGACTGGGTCTCCTAGTGACGCATCAGTGATTCACGTATGGGGCAGCCTTGCTCACGTCCGCGCTACTTGCATGGACAATCTCTCAGCCCGCAACCTTCCTTGTGTCTTCCTAGGGTTTCTACTTGACACCTTGACTATCTGTTCTACCGCCCGTCAAACCACCGCTTTTACCACTCTCTTGACGTTACCTTTGCTGAGAAGCTCCCTAATATAGGCGTTCCCTCACTGCAACGCTCCTGTGCCTCCTCCCCCTCTCTTCGTCGTCCATGCCCCGACTGCCATACCCCTCCCACCCCGCCCGGCCCGTCTGGTGTCTCCCACGCCACTCCATTCCCCTCAGTCGGGCCCGTGGGGGATTCAGCTCACTCTGGGGGCCCAGCTGCTGGGGCCTCGCCTGCTGTCACTGTGGCGCCTCTCCCAGGCTCGGTACCCAAGACACCTCAGCTGCCTCCCCCCTTGCCTCAGCAGCAGCCGCAACCACCGCAACAGGCTCAGCGGCCGCAGTAGCAGCAGCACAGTAGCAGCAGCAAGGGGCAGTGGGCTCAGGGGGTGCTGGTATTGCAGGTATTGGTATTGGGGGTGCTTGTGTTGGAGGTGTTGGTGTTGGGGGTGCTGGTTCTGGGGCTGCGAATTGCGAGGGCCAGCACTCGAGTGGATTGGCAGCAACGCGACAGGGCGACCTCTCGGCACACCCATGTTCGCCGATCCGATGGAGATCGACAAATTTGATGAGCGGCCAGGTCCGAAAAATGCCAATTTCACGTGTGGTTTTTGCGGGGTGCTGGGTCATCGAATCTTCGACTGCCACAAAATTAAGGCTGCGCGTGTAGAGTATCAGATGCACAGCTGTGGAGGGAATTCTTCGATCAATCAGAAATTTCGAAAGCAGCCACAGGAATTCCGGGAAAACCAACTTCGACGAAGCTGATTCGGCACGAGCAAGAGGAAATGATGGGGGAAAATCTCCACCCACGACCAGTCCTCGCCAAGGAAAATAGCAAAGAAAAATTCGAACTCCTCGAAAAAAATACCCTGCCAAGATGAGGAAACTCCTGGAAGACCTAGGAAGTTATAAGGATTCGGTAAAGTTATCTTATAGAGATGCTTTACTGAAAAAAATATGATTCTCGGGGGCTTGAGCCTTGGAGAAAAATTCGGGAGGGACTCCAAAAGAAACATAAAATTGTTGAGATTGTAACGGTACTGGAGAACTTGGGGAATTTTTTTAGTGTGGAAAGGAGCCGACTTTCCATGGAGCGTCCCCACGATAAGGCGGCGATCGACCGAATTTGGGATGTGTGCAAGCTTTAAGCATTCTCTGCAACGACGGTGGATGGCAGCAAGTTACTAGTCTACGACGAAGCAGTGTTACCCCTGCAAATCTGACCACTGCACTGTAAACCTGCCCTCCCCATCACCAACATAAGAGGGCTTGACTTGATCTTTGGGCGGGACTTCCTAAAAATTTTAAACCTCAAAAATCAATTGGGTCTTAGGGTTGATTCTGTAGTAAGCACAGAGCGTCAGCCTTTCCAAGTGTCGGTATTGCAGCGGAACTAGAGCGCAAGGCTAAGGATCGTTGGCTCTGATGGCCAGGTGTAATGAAGCGCAAAGAGCGTATGTTGAATAATTGAGTAGCGAGGAAACAAAACAATGAGGCAACATCAAAACAGATGGGAGCATGGATATAGCTAGGCCTAGAGCATGCGGTCGAGGCTCGGCAGAGCTGAGATGTGTGGTTTGCAATTGGCGCGAAGCGCCCATATCTAGGCATGAAACAGCAAGGCGGGAAAAATGCATGCGGCTCATCAGGAGACCACATTTGGGTGCCGCGATTTGAATTTCGTGGCAGAGCTGCGTGGGAACACCATTATAGCAGTGTGCGCCTTACTAACTAAAACCAGTGATAAGGAAATGCCATTTCCTTACAATTTGCCAACATTTCTTTCGCCAAATTCTGTCCCGCATTCCCTTCACTTTAGTCAGCCCCGCTACTAGGCCTAGCCTGTGCGGTACACCCTAGTAGGCCTCTCGCTAACAGGGCAATTACCCTTAATGTCGAGAATTTTAGAGTACTGTTTCGAGTGATTCTGTTTTTTTTACGGTGCGATTTTTTTCCGAATCCGTCCAACTTGCAGAAACAATTTCGCTCGATTCCTTAGCCTAAAGAGTGACTTTTTTCCGAATCCGTACGGGCTATACTTGTAGCAGGGCAATCTGTAAGGGGGTAGCCATTCCCCACAATCCCAACCCCCCCCCAACCCCCCCCCCCCCCCCCTCCCCCCCCCTCTCCCTCCCGCCTTTGATTCAATAGTGCCGAATTTGTAGGGGCCGATTCCTTTCGGCAACGGTTTTTTTGGAAAGAATTCCGTCTATTGACGGGTAATCCAGGGGCGATTCCGTCCCCTTCCGGAATGCCCTGGGGCTTAGCGAGAGGACTGGAAGGGAACAGGCCTCTTGCTAACCGTGTAATTACGCTTAGTGTCAAGAAATTTAGAGTAATGTTTCGAGCGATTCCGTTTTTTTCCCGGTGCGGACTGTTTTTCGAATCCGTCCAACTTACGGAAACGATTCGCTCGATTCCTTAGCCTAACGAGTAATTTTTTTATTGAATCCGTACGGGCTATACTTGTAGTAGGGCAATCTGTAGGGGGTAGCGACCTTCCCCCACCCCCCCAACCCCAACCCCTCCAACCCCCCCCCCCCCCCCCCTCGATTCCTTGCTAGCCTGATTTCTACCGGCGGATTCCTTTTGGTAACGGGTTTTTTTGGGGGGGGATTCCGTCTGTTAATGGGTTATCAGAGGCGATTCTGTCCCCTTCCGGAATACCCTGGGGCTTAGCGAGAGACATGCACCCTAGCTTCAACTGCAACTGCCCTAGTGCTCTTTTGTGAGCCCTACCCTTGATCTTTCCTCCCTCCCTGATCTTTTGAGCAGTCATCATCGCTATGTGGGGGACAGTGGTGGCTTGATTGAACCAGTTGATGAAATGCTGTGTCGTCGTCTTCGTTCCCAGCTCATTCTTGGCGGTTGAGCTCCTTCAGTTGGTGCGTTGACTCTGCGACATCTTCTGCCATCGGCGCTAGGCTGCAGTGGTGGAATTGGAACCGTCGTCGCGTCAGTTTTCGCAAGCGTTTGACTCACCTCGATCGTTGACAAGGAGTAAACAGATTGCCCAGCGATTGGTCGTATTCAACCCGACTCGCGTTGCGCCCATCCAGCACAGGCCTTGCCAGGGCCATTCCACCTGCTGACCTTCCCTCCATGCCTCGCGCTCACTCACGCCACTGGCGCGGAGATCTTTCGACAAACGGTTGTTTCCCATCCGCCGACAGTTGGTCCTAGCATTTACAGCTCCTCCCACGAGCGCCTCGGCGAGGAGATATTCCCGCGCGAGCAGAATCAGCGCCGCTGCGATCCGCCATCCGTTCCACACTGGTGGGCTCTCCCCGCCCCTTCCCGCCCTCTCCTGCGGCTCTCCGCACCTTGCCTCCGCCGCATCCTACGGCGCCCCGCAGGGCCGATGCATCGCCGACAGCGATGCTCACCGCGGAGTCTTCCCCGCGCGCGGCAGAGGGGCGATCCAGATGCCTGCTTGCTGGGTTCCTTGCGCGCGCCGTTATCGCGCGCGCGACTGGAGGGCGGAGCCTGGCGGAGGCGTGAGAGGCTCTTATCACGGGGGGAGGTGGGGTGACGAGGGATGGTTTTTCATCCCTCGAGGCGAGGCGAGGGAGCGCGGGAGGGCAGCGGGACGGGCGGAGGTGCACATGCAGAGGCATCAGGAGCCACCATGATCGTTTCGGTTCCGCATCGTTCATTCCATGCCATCGTGGCATCACGCCATGGCAGCCCTAAATCGCTAGGCTAAAGCTGCGCGATTCCGTGCTCCCAGGCGCCGGATGTGGTTTTTAGTACCCGTCCGGTGGGTCCTCTATGGCGGGCTGGAGGCTTTCACGCCTGTGGACGGCACTGGAGGGATCTCCCCCAAGTTGTGGCTCTCGTATTGGCAGATTCAACCCGCAGACTCGCGAGTAGCGAACCTGTGCGAGAACTCGCACCGATCACGCGTTGGGCCGCAACACTAGGAACGTCTCCGCGTGCTAAGCCGAAGCACCACAACACTCCCTCGGCCCTGCAGTTACGATTATTCCGCAGGTCTGATCTACTCCGTCCGTAGCCGTCGATCCCTCCCCCCTGCGTCCGCCTTGCCGGTTTCGTTCCTCCCGCCATCTTCACCTCATTGGCGCTCCCAGATAGCCCGTGGATCTATGTTTTCGGAAGCCGGTTCCTTTGATTTACACTAACCGCGAGTTAAGAGCCAGACTCTGCAACCTTAGTCACTCCGGATTCCTGACGCTGCTTCGGATCCGCGCATTCTGTGGACCACGGGGGGGGGACACGTTGGGGCTGGCGACGAAGTGGCAGGCGACGCTATGACGGACGATGATGCGCGCGACAGGGCCGCCGCGGCTGCCGCTGCTGCTGCGGAGGAAGGTGACAGCAGCAACAGCAACAGCAACAGCAACAGCGGCTGTGGCGACGCTGATGCTGATGGTGATGGCGCTGGCGACGGTGACGGTGGTGCGGCGGGCGATAGCGAGTTGAAGAAGGTGCGCGCCCCTTCATGGCTTCTTCTGAGGGGTGCCCTAGCTTCCAATCTCACGTGCCCTTGCTTCCAAACTCACGTGCCCTTGCTTCCAATCTCACGTGCCCTTGCTTCCAATCTCACGTGCCCTTGCCTCCAATCTCACGTGCCCTTGCTTCCAATCTCACGTGCCCTTGCTTCCAATCTCACGTGCCCTTGCTTCCAATCTCACGTGCCCTTGCTTCCAATCTCACGTGCCCTTGCTTCCAATCTCACGTGCCCTTGCTTCCAACCTCACGTGCCCTTGCTTCCAATCTCACGTGCCCTTGCTTCCAATCTCACGTGCCCTTGTTTCCAATCTCACGTGCCCTTGCTTCCCTTGTTTCTGGGAGTGAGCGTAGATCGCTGAAGCATCTGAAGGGTCACCCCATTCTTCCCTGATGCGACTCCCGTTTCATCCCACCATCTCGTCCTATCTCCACACGCCTGTCTCTGTACTCCCGACCACTCCTTACTCTCTCGTCCCCTCTCATTTACTCCAAATTCCCCACCTATCTCCTCTCCCTTTCCTCTCCTTCAGGGCCTGTGGACGGCCGAGGAAGTGGCCATCAGATCCGCCTCGCCCACTCATCTCCTCCTCTAAACTGCCCTCCTCTCCGCCCCCATCTTCCCCCAGGGTCTGTGGACGGCGGAGGAGGACGCGATCCTGGTGGAGTGCGTGCACCGCTTCCGCGAGGGCAACTGGACCACCATCGCCACGCGCTCGGGGCCTGGCGCGGTCGGGCAAGAGCTGCCGGCTGCGGTGGGTGAAGCACCTGAGCCCCGCCATCCGCCCGGGGCCGCTGTCAGAGGCGGAGCAGCGGCAGGTGATCCAGCTGCAGAAGAGGTTCGGCAACAAGTGGGCGCTCATGGCGCAGCACATGCCTGGGCGGTCCGACAACGCCATCAAGAACTTCTGGAACTCTTATAGGAAGAGGATGCAGCGGAGAGTGAAAGCCGCTGCTGTGGCTGCGCGGGACGGGGGGATGGAGAGGGTGGTGGAGGAGGGGGAGGGAGGGTGAATGGTGGAGGCGTGGGGGAGATGGGTGGAGAGGAGGAGGGGGAAACGGCGGAGGGAGAGGGGAGGGGAGAAAGAGCAAGCGGCGCAGCAGCAGGGCAGGGTGAGAAGGAGGAGCAAGCGCTGGTGTGTGCCGGACATTTTATGATGACTCCAGCACCAGCAGCAGCTGCAGCAGCAGCAGCGGCAGCAGCATCAGGATCAGCAGCAGCGTCACCAATACTGTTGCTGCGCCCATCCACGGTGCAAGCAGACCACCTGCTGCTTCTCAAACGAACCTGGGCGCTCGAGCGTTTTCCAGGGCAGCGTCAGCAGTGAACGCAGCGAGCG